CCCCGCTGAGCAGGGAGCCCGATGCGGGACTCGATCCCGGGACTCCAGGATTGTGACCTGAGCCGAAGGCAGTCGCTTAACCAACTGAGCCACCCAGGCGCCCCGTGTCACTGTAGTTCTAATTTGCACTTCCCTATGGCTAATAATATTGAATAACTTTTACGGATTTATTTACCACCTGCATCTTCTCTTCAATGAAACATCTGTTCATGTCTTTTGCCCATTTTCTTTTCTTTTTTTTTTTTAAGTAGGCTCTATGTCCGACATGGATCTCAAACTCATGACCCTGAGATCAAGAATCATATGCTCCACCAACTGAGTCAGCAAGGAGGAGCCCCATCTTTTGCCCATCTTCTAATTAGACTATTTTTTTTTTAAACTGCTTTGAGAATTCTTTCCGTGTTTTAGATGATGGTTGTTGGATGCTGAGTTAGCAAATATTTTCTCCTGTGGTGTAGCTACCTCTCATTATCTTCACATGGTCTTTTGGAGAATAAAATTCTTAATTTTTATGAGGTCTAATTTATTAATTTTTTCCATTGATGGGATTGTGGTTTTGGAGTCAAGTCTAAGAATTCTTTGCCTGAAGAATTTCTATATCCTGATGTTTTTCACCGATATTATCTTTTTTTTTTTTAAAGATTTTATTTATTTATTTGAGAGAGAGAGAGAGCACAAGAGGGGGGAGAGGGAGAGGGAGAAGCAGACTCCCCGCTGAGCAGGGAGCCCGAGGCAGGACTTGATCCCGGGACTCCAGGATCATGACCTGAGCCGAAGGCAGTCGCTTAACCAACTGAGCCACCCAGGCGCTCTTCACCGATATTATCTTTAAAAGTTGTATAGTTTTGGGATGCCTGGGTGACTCAGTTGGTTAAGTGACCAACTCAGGTCTTGATCTCAGGGTCATAAGTTCAAACACCATTTTGAAAAAATAAGTAAAATAAAAGTTCTATACTTTTATGTTCTACATTTAAGTCCACAATCCATTTTGAGTTAATCTTTGTATAGGATGGAAGGTTTAGGTTGAGGTTTAGTGTTTTATCTACGGATATCAAAGCGGGCAGGGGGGAGAGAAAAAGAGGCACATGAGTATAAAAGCTTCAGGAATTTGGTTTCATTTTATTAACTGTTTCATAATGAAACTCATTCTATTCATACAAGCATATTTATTAGGTAGGTCCGGACCTCTAAGAAGGTAAAATCTGTCATGAGTAAAGCACATTATATTTGTAATACTTACCTCTTGCCTCAAAAAAGGATTTTCCTTTTTGAGCTCTTCAGAAAGATCTTCTCCCTCCAGCCATTCCTTCATGCCTGTCTGTTCTGCCCAAGCATTCACAGTTGCTAGGGCAGCTGCCCGAACATTGTTCTAAATAGAGAAGAGAATTAGTAAAGATAACATCCGTTATGGTTTGGAGGTAGGGAGTGAAACAGTTTGTTACTTTGGGAACACGAACAACGGAGGTTTCTCTAAGGTCCACATGAACATACTTAGAATCAACTTTTCTGACACAGAATCTAGTTCTATGGTTGTACTGAAAATCCAAAGTAAAGAAGAAACATAAAACTCCAACTGTAAGGTCCTGTACTCAGTTAAATTAGGCAAAAACAGTGACCTGGGCATAAAGTATCATGTAAGGGGAATAAACTCAGAGGTTTTATTTTCTGAAGCTCTGGGGGCTGTTATGTCCATGGTTATCTATAAAGAATGTAACTCCACAGGGTAGAGAACTCCTAATAGTTAGACTGAAATTACCAACAATTTGCCTGAACACTTATGTTTTCATATTAACTTGCATTCACAGAATGAGGACTTATTGACATGAAAAACATTAAAATACCCCAATTCCTCATATAAAATGAATTGCACAAAAAAAAAGACACATGCAAATATTCAATCTAGGGCTAAATATAAGAGGCTTGCAACTTTCGAGGAGATTAATTCTAGGACTGTGAAATTGAAGTACTAGAAGATCCTGCTCCAGCAGTTCAGGAGAACAAGGAAGAAAATAAATACATGACCCCAAAATTCATGAACGTATTCACTCTTCATAACAGTACTTATAACGATGATGTCATAATCGTAATAGCCAACAGTTTTTGAGTGCATACTGTATGAGACAGTAACAGGTACCTTATGTACAGATTCTTATTTAGTTCTGTAAGAATGAAATTTCATAGATAAAGAAACTGAACCTCGAAGAAAAGAAATAACTTATCTAAGGGTCGCAAGGCGAGTGACATAACTGTTCACCTTCATACTGCTTGGGAGGTACAGGTGTTTACTATTTTCCTCCTAATGTTTATAGGAGGAAAATAGTATATAGACTGTTTATAGACTGTTTATGTGTACTCTTACACACACTGAGAATTGGTCTTAGCCCAAGAATGTGGCTGGCCTATTCCAGAAGGGAGTTGTGGTCAGGAGTCAAGTTTACCTTGCTGTCTCCAAGGACTGTGATGATAGGGATGCCTAAGTTCTTCACATGTTGCTTGATATTTGGGCCCATGGCTACTGCCAGTTGCTGGAGGATATTCAACGTCTGCTGCACCTGAGTGGGAAAGAGCCAACACTTGATGATGAAACCAGGAGCAACAGTGTCCCAAGTTTTTCAAGTTTGCTGCTAAGTAGTCAGTGCACTAGAAGTTTTGGGCCTACTTGAAAGACAGGGTAGTCAGTTTGTTATGATGCTATTCTAATTAGCTTATGAATAATTTATAGGCAGTGGCCTATCCTTTTATCATTAGTTCATAACACTGGAGTATTAGAATTTTAGACCAGAATGGATAGTGCTTTATTGTTTTAAAGTAAGGTAAAGCCTAGTTTAAGAAAATCCTGACATAAAAACCCACATTTAAAAATTAGAAATTAAACGTGTTTATGCATATAACAGAGTTTTATATAAGGATATTTAATATTAGAGTTCTATAAAAAGCAAATCTGACATCCATGAAAATTTGATAAATAAACCTGCCACCTACCAACCTATCTTGAGGCACACTTAAGAAATTAAAGGAATTCTAGTTCAAAGCAAATGAAGTGGCCACTCATTTTTTTTGCAGGTGAAGATTACTGAAAAGGAACTTCCTGTAGGGAAGAGGGGAGGGAGAGAAAAAGAACAGGCACATGTTCTACACAGGCGCATGTTCTACACAGGCACATGTTCTACGTACCAAGATTTTATTTGAATCATTGAGTCGGCCTTTCAAAGCAGTTGGCAGTTCACCTATATTCGGCTGGATAAATTTTGCTTCATTGATAATAGCTGCCACTTCATCCAGGCCTTCTTTCCTGATCTTCCAGTTCTTGTCACCAATCTTAGACACCAACTCTGAAGTGATTTTATCACTGAAAAAGCAGAAGACAGAATCCTTAATTCCAGACTCCTAAAGAAATAATGTCACAGAAGTACCGAGGAAGAGAAGGTACCATTAAGAATTCACTACCAAAAAAAAAAATTTTTTTTTTCACTACATAAATCCAATAAACCATTTGCAATAAACCTACCTGATTTCTGTCCTCGGCAAAAGATCCACAACATCAGTGCCCACCTCATCTGGTTCATCTCCATCTTCTCCTTCATCTGTACCACTTATGCTGTGTTTAGAAATCCCTCTGGTTGGAGCAGGTGGGTTCTGTCCCTGCATCTACACACAAACAAATCAGTGAGGCTAATGAACTTGATGAATGGTACGAGAGCAAACAAGTTAGAGAATGCGCCTATGTCAAACTTTCCTATTCCTTCATACTACTTAATATTTATAAACTACACTGTATGTATGTATGTATGTATTTATTTTTAGAAAGGGGGGAAGGGGCAGAGGGAGAGAGAGAATCTTAAGCAGGCCCCACACCCAGCACAGAACCTGACACAACCCTGAGCTTGATCTCACAACCCTGAGATCATGAGTTGAGCCAAAATCAAAAGTCAGACGCTTAACTGACTGAACCACCCAAGGACCCCTACACAGTACATATTTTAATTCCTACTTAGATCCCAAATTTGAGACTATATGGCAAAAGGTATTTTTTTGACCTACTAGGTATTTTTTTGACCTACTAGAATCTGACGACTTTTCAATCATGAAATTATCTTTTGACTTAGATGCCCAATAAATATAAAGCAAGTCTGCCCAAACCCAGCAATTTTGATTAGAAAGTTTATTCAAGGGAGGCCAAGTTTTTTTTTATTTAAAACAATTTTAAATGTTGATATACTTTCTGAATAGGCAATACAATAAAAATGTTTGATATTCCAAAGGTACAAGAGACAAAAGAGGAAAATCTCCCCTCCCATGCCACAGCTATCCAGTCGCCCTCCTCATAGACAAAGCCATCAATTTCTTATGAATTCTTCCTAGGGATACTTTATGCATATAAAAGCAAATACATATATATTCCTCATTCTAAAGGGTTAAAAGCTTAAACTTAACTATTATGAGCATTCTCAAGTCTACCAAAGGACTGTATCATTTTTGGAATCTTTACCTTCTCAAATTCTGCATCTATCTGGGATAGAAGGGCAGGCTTCTCATCCTCAAAGAACATTCGCAAAGAGGGACCAACATACAGGTACATCACACCAAGCAGGGTGATGGCCGAAGTCCTCACAGCCTGGCAGACAGAACAAAAAGAACTTTGCAAATGAGAACAGAACCACAAAGATGGCTGCAATGTTCCTACATATGTGGTATGTACTCACTGGGTTTGTTGCAGCAAGAGCTGTCTTCACATTGCTAATAAAAGCTTTCACATTCAACCTGAAAGAAGTAACATTTAGAATTAAAAAGAAATAAATGAAACTCTCAAAATACTCAAGAGTTTTATAAAGCCAGACTCCAGGACTGGCTCCCTTTGGCTATGTCCCCAAGTCTCACCTATTCTCTCTCTCCAGTCACTGACAGGGAACATTAAATATTGTCTACAAGCTCATTACTCCTAAACCCCAGTGTTGACCCCTCTTCTGAATTCAGATTTGTATATCCATACAGCCTTTGTAACACTTCCATTTGAATGTATAGTAGATGTCCCACATCTGTCAAGACCAAAACTCCTGACTGTCCACACCCCAAACCCAAATGCTGTTGTTTCCAGTCTTTCCTACCTCAGTAAAGAGCCACATTATTCTTCCATTCGCTCAGGCCATCCTTGACTCCTCTCTTTCCTATACTCAGTAACCTGTTCCGATTTTTTTTTTTTTTTAAGATTTTATTTATTTATTTGACAGAGAGAGACACAGTGAGAGAGGGAACACAAGCAGGGAGAGTGGGAGAGGGAGAAGCAGGCTTCCCGTGGAGCAGGGAGCCCAATGTGGGGCTCGATCCCAGGACCCTGGGATCATGACCTGAGCTGAAGGCAGACGCTTAACGACTGAGCCACCCAGGCGCCACTCCTGTTCCGATATTCCAAATACATTCTGCGTCCTAATACTTCCATTTCTACAAACTATGTCCAAGCCAGTATATTTTCTTGATAGGACTAATTAGTCTTTTCGATCCTCACTATTTATTCTGACTACAGTCCAAATGATCCTATTACTCTTCTGCTTAAAACCATCTAATGGTTTCCAACTAACTCAAAACTCTGAGGCCCAATGTGACCTGGCTCAGTTCTTTCTCCCATCTTTTCTCCTCCCACTGCCCCCCAACAACTCATTCCCCTCTACTACCTACTGAAGAACAATCACTCCTTGCTATTTTTATTTCATTTCTTTTTAAGATTTTATTTTATTTCAGAGAGAGCGAACGAGCGTATGCGGGAGTGCGAAAGGGGCAGAGGGAGAGGGTGAGAGAAAACTCTCAAGCAGACTTCCCAATGAGCATGAAGTCCAACACAGGGCTTGATCTCACAACCCTGAGATCTATGACCTGAGACCAGGAGTTGGACGCTTAACTGACTGAGCCACCCAGGTGCTCCCAAACAATTGTGTCTTTGCTTGAATGTCACTTGAATAACTTATAGAGTAGTATTTCTTTATTTGGTAGAATGTAGAAAACTATTTTGGGTTTTTTTGGTGTTGTTTTTTTTTTTTAAAGATTTTATCTATTTGAGAGAGAAAGAGGGAGAGTACAAGCAGGGTGAGGGGCAGAGGGACAAGTATACTCTCTGATGGGCAAGGAGCCTGATGCGGGGGCTCGACTCCAGGACCCTAAGATCATGACCTGAGCCGAAATCAGACACTTAACTGACTGAGCCACCCAGGCATCCCTAGAAAACTATTTTGTAACACATTAAGAAGTATATTGTAAAAAACAGCATGGCACAGAGAAAGGCAACATAGTATAGCAGTTATAGTACTTTCTCTTGGAACCAGAATGCCTGGATTCAAATCTTGGCTTTGCCACTTCGGAACTGTGACTTGGACAGATTACTCAAGCTTTGTGTGCCCAGTTTCCACACGTATAAAATGGGAATAACAATGCCTCACATGGTTTTTATGAGAATTAAATCAAATGAATTATTATTTAGAAAGTGGCTGGCATAAGGGAGCCTGGGTGGCTCAGTCAGTTAAGTGTCTGCCTTCAGCTCAGGTCATGACCAGGGTCCTGGGATCAAGTCCTTCTTCTCCCTCTCCTCCATGCTCCTACTGTCACTATCTCTGTTGCTATCTCTTCTCTCTCTCTCTCAAATAAATAAATAAAATCTTAAAAAAAAAAAGTGCCTGGCATAAAGTAAGCTCTATAAAATTTTGTTAAATAAACAAATGTGTTCAATATGCAAACAAGTTTGGGAAACAGTGGGTTAATAAAGTTAGGCTGGGGCGCCTGGGTCATGATCCCAGGGTCCTGGGATAGAGCCCCGCGCTGGGCTCCCTGCTCAGTGGGGAGCCTGCTTCCCCCCTCCCTCTGCTTCTCCCCCTGCTCGTGTTCTCTCTCTCTCTCTCTCTATCTCTGTGTCTCGAATGAATAAAAATAATAATAAAAAATAAAGTTAGGCAGCTTCTCTGTTGTATGACCTTGAGAGACTTTAATTCACCAACATGCATGATAGGTCTCTAAACAAATGTGATTATATGTAGTAATTTTGAAATATATTTGACTAGAAATCCTTGGAAGTGGCTTTTCTGAGGGATTGTTATTAATACTTAAGGAGAAATAACTTAGAGAGCTCTAATGTTAGTGGACATGAAAATGCAGGACCATGAGCCAATATAGACTTTTGAGGAATAAAGGTAGTTTTTTTTTATATAAATTAGCCGACCCAGCTCTGGTGTCTCAGAAATAGCAGAGACAGCTACAGCAAAAAGAATCACTAGTTAGAGATAGACACAATATTTAATTATTTTGTACCTGATTTGTTTCTGACTTACCCAGAAAAACCAAATTCTTTGATTGCATTTGATAGCCAATTCAGAGTTTCTGATTGATTCTTGGGATTCTTCTGTGAGAAAGCCATTGACATAACCTAAAGTGAAAAAGAGGGAAAAAACAAAAATAAGCATGTGTTTTTTCTCATATTTCTCACAGAAATATAGTATGCCATAAAGGTAGAAGTGGATTAAGCATGGTTTTTCCAACCCTGATAGAACTGCAAGAATGCCTTAGGAATGAAAGGGCTGCCTGGGTGGCTCAGTCATTAAGCGTCTGCCTTCGGCTCAGGTCATGATCCCAGGGTCCTGGGATCAAGCCCCGCATCGGGCACCCTGCTCAGCGGGAAGCCTGCTTCTCCTCTCCCACTCCCCCTGCTTGTGCTCCCTCTCTTGCTGTCTCTCTCTGTCAAATAAATAAATAAAATCTTAAAAAAAAAAAATGCCTTAGGAATGAAATATTTAACTTACACAAGAAAATGAGGTAAGTGACAGTAGTATTAAAAGCATTCTGGGGCACCTGGGTGGCTCAGTCGTTATGCATCTGCCTTCAGCTCAGGTCATGATCCCAGGGTCCTGGGATTGAGTCCCGCATCAGGCTCCCTGCTCTGCGGGAGGCCTGCTTCTCCCCCTCCCACTCCCCCTGCTTGTGTTCCTGCTCTCACTATCTCTCTCTGTGTCAAATAAATAAATAAAATCTTCAAAAAAAAAAAAGCATTCTGGACTTTACAACTTTTCATTAGTGATCACTCTGAATTATAATGTCTTAAGAGAAAATCACTCTCATCTTTTAATAGATTATTCTTGGCCAAGATAAATTCTAATTATCAGGCAACAGTGTATTATTAGAGGTAAGGATAAAAATGCAGAATATAAAAAATGGTTTGACTTAGAAAGAAAAGAACTACAGTTTAATTAGTAACCTTAAATTAAAATTTGGGAAAAGCTGGGAAAAGTTGGGGAGAGAGAGCTCTATCACTAACCTGTTCAGCTGTCCACGGCAACATGCAAGCTTCGGCTATTGCTGTCATAGCTTCTTTTGCATTGTTCCCACATTTCACATCTCCAATCTTGTCCACAAGGCCATCCAAGACAATCTGAGCTGAAGTTTTGGAAAAATTCCCCTTCTGGGCAATCAAAGCAACTATGTGAAGCTTCATCTGCATCACCTGAACAAGGATAAGTATCATAAAGTTATGAGTAAGCCAAAAACATTAATTTACTTTTTTTTTTTTTAAAGATTTTATTTATTTATTTGAGAGAGAGAATGAGACAGAGAGCACAAGAGGGAAGAGAGTTAGAGGGAGAAGCAGACCCCCCGCTGAGCAGGGAGCCCGATGCGGGACTCAATCCCGGGACTCCAGGATCATGACCTGAGCCGAAGGCAGTCGCTTAACCAACTGAGCCACCCAGGCGCCCCTTAATTTACTTATTTTTGTAGTACAGATGTAACACAGGGACAACTGAGAACATGACCAAACTAAAAAAATGACTATTTTATTTATTTATTAAAGATTTTATTTATTTGACAGAGAGATAGAGAGCACAAGTAGGCAGAGTGGCAGGTAGAGGGAGAGGGAGAGGCAGGCTCCCCGCTGAGCAGGGAGCCCAACATGGGGCTCGATCCCAGGACCCTGGGATCATGACCTGAGCCGAAGGCAGCCGCTCAACCAACTGAGCCACCCAGGCACCCCTAAAAATGACAATTTTATTCATTCATTCATTCATTCATTCATTTACTTTTTAAGTAATCTCTACATCCAACATGGGGCTCAAACTCACCGCCCCAAGATCAAGAGCCTCATGCTCTTGATCATGAGCTAGCCAGATGCCCTTAAAAATGACAATTTTAAACAAAGAAGCAAAATAATTTTTATCCTTGTTATCATATAGTACTGAATACACAACCTGAAATACATAATAAATGACCAAACTAACTGCATCACTCGGAGTTCCCACTAGTGTTGCCCACAAAAAACTATAACCCTCATGGACATACATACAACAGAACTTGAGGGATTTAAAGAACTTGTAGATTTTTAAGTGGAAGAATGAAGAAGATGTGAAAACAATTTAAAGATGTTAATGTGATGGCGGCAGATGTATGGCTCTTGGGACCCCTTTGCCCTTCAATATTTCTCTCTGTCCTATTTGAATATTTAAATGACAGGAGTTGGTGAGGATGTACAGAAATTAGAATTCTCTTGTACTACTGGTACGAATATAAAATGGTGAAGCCACACTGGGAAACAGTTTGGCAGTTCTTCAAAAAGTTAAACATAGTTACCATATGACCCAGCAAATTTCCTTCTAGGTATATATCCAAGAGAATTAAAAATGTGCTCACACAGGGATACCTGGTTGGCTCAGCCAGTTGAGCATCCCATTCTTAATTTCTGCTCAGGTAATGATCTCAGGGTCTTGAGCTCGAGCCCTGTGTTGGGCTCCATGCTCAGTCGGATGTCTGCTTGGGATTCTCTCTCTCCCTCTCCCCCTGCCCCCACTCGCACATGCTCTCCCCCTCTCTAAGTAAATAAATCAATCTTTAAAAAAAAAAATGTGCTCACACAAAAACTTGTACATGAATGTTCACAGAGATAGCCACGAAGTGGAAAGAACACCAATTCTCTTCAACCTATAAATGGGTAAATAAAATGTTCTATATCCATACAATGGAATATTACTTAGCGATAAAAATACATGCTACCATATAGGTGAACAGTAAAAATATTATTCTAGGTAAAAGACACTTCATTATATGAAATGTCCAGGAGAAGTAATCCATAGAGACAGCAAGTAGAGTAACAGTTGCCCAGGGACCGGGGGGTAGGGGGAGAAATCTGGGGAGAAAGAGAGTGACTGCTTACGGGTATGGGGTTTCTTTCTGGAGTGATGATAATATTCTAAAATTATAGAGTGGTAGGAGCTGCAGAACTCTGTGAATACACTAAGAACTGCTGCATTGTACACTTCAAAATGGTGAGTTTTATACTCTCAATGAAGTTGTTATAAAGAAAAATACATATATAAAATTATCCTTTGTTATGGATCTAACACATAGGCAGGTATCAGCTCAAATCAGGTATGCTTTTTCGCCTAAGAAACTGCACAAAGAGGGGTTTTGAAAGTGGCGTGTAGGGGAGGAGGGCAGCGCAAGAACCTCTTGGCAGAGGAAGGCTTTGTAGAGCTGGATGGTATGGCTGAGGTGCTGGAACAGTGCTAAGGGAACACAGTGTGCGAGGAAGCCATGGATCCTAAAGAGAGAACAAGAGGTGGCAGAAGAGAAGCAAAAGAGAGTAGCAGGATGCCAAAAATAAACCTGACATATTTCAAACTTTTGTTTCCACAAGGTCTATGAATATCTAGAGGAGAAGGCAACTTTTCTCCTTTTCCTTTCTGTATCACTTTCTTGTATCTCCCTTTACACCTACTTTTTAGACTAATAACAGCACTGTTAAATTTCATCTCTAGGATCAGTAAATACATTAAACTATGTGGTGATTTTTCATTGGCAATTTAAAGATCATCTATCTTTTATCCAGACAAATAAGAAACTTGTCTCCCTGTCTATCCCCCTCTTGCATATGTGAAGATTAGGGGGCTTCTAGGCCTAACTTACGAGGAGAAAAATGCATATATGTGAATTACACAAACAATATAGAGATAATATTTCCATATATATAAACTCCTAATTACACAAAGATATAGTTATGTGTTTAATAAAAATGCACACACTCCATTGTTTACATTTAAAGTTAGAAGACACATTGGTTAAGCGTTTTAAAAAAAGGCTAAAAGTCATTACCAAATACTATACCTCTTTCACTCTACAGAATGATATGATGGAAATTATTTCAATGAAAGATAGTAAAATCCCCAATTAAAAATTACCTGAAAATTGGTTTCTTTCCATCCAGGTTTCTTGGCCAGCATCCTTACTAATGCCTGGCATGGCATTTCAGTTCGATCCATTAGTTCAACAGCCTTAAAGTAAAACAATAGACTGAGAGTTAAGGGGTTAATGATTAGCCAAGGAAAGGGTACATAAAAAAGCCAAGCAGGTGACTTGAAAGAGAGGAATGGATACAAAGAAGGTTATAGAGGGAGCTTAGATAGCTGTTTCTTAAGTTGGATATTTGATGTATAGTTGTTTTATATTAATACCACTGAAACTCTTCCACCCACCCACCCATTTCAGAATTTCACAAAGAATTTGGTCCACGGAATGTAACCATAACAGTTTTCATTTGCCTGGTGTGTGGCAGAAACTGCTTATACATATTTTGAGTTACCTGATTTTCCTAAAAACATATACCAAAGTAGGATAGGTTAGAAGTGGTTAAGTATTAAATTTCAAAGATACACAAACTAGGGTCTAAACCTGATGCATGGCACATGCAGAACTGAAAGCCAGGTCTCCTGCCTCAAGTCCCAGTGCTCTTGTGGTTTCTACACACCCTCCTCATTAGAATCAGAGTAAAGGTAAAAAGGAACTACCATGCTCCTTTCCAACACAGACTTCTGAAAGGAGCTTCTCATACCAAGTAATAATGTCTGTTCTTCTAAGAATCATGACGACAAAGAGGGAAACAGAAACGGATGAGGGGCAGTTTAAGTGGAGTGATCTGTTTGCCTAGTAAGTTTAATGAACAAATACTGTGATATTAAAGTTCATCTAAATCTTGTAATTCAGAATAAACTTACTTAAATATTAAGTTACGAGGTTTCAGAAACCATAGAAAGCAGATATTGAAAGATAAACACTACAGAGCTAAAAAACCAAAAACCCCCCCACTCAGCTTTAGTTAACACCCTGAAACGTGTTTATTGGATATAAGACACCGCAGGTAGGACAAGCACTTTGTCAATTTCATCACTTCTATGAGTAATGTTCTTTCACATTCAACTCATCCCCATGCATCTACCTTTTGGAACTCTTCCATACAGGCCAGCCTTTCCTTCCAGTTACTGCTGTCTAGCAGCTGTATACAGGTAGCAGGAAGGACAGCTGAAGCTTTTTCTTCACATACTTCTATCTGTAAGATACAAAAACATTAAAATTAAGAACTGCTTAAGGGGGAGCGCCTGGGTAGCGCAGTCAGTTAAAGTGTCCAACTCTTAGTTTCATCAGCTCAGGCTGATGAATCTCAGGGTCAGGAGACTGAGTCTTGTGTCGGGCTCACACTCAGCACAGAGTCTCTCTCCTTCTGCCCCTCCCCCCACTCCTGGTAACATGATCACTCTCGCTCTCTCTCTTTCTAATCAATCAATCAATCAATCTTAAAAAAATAAAAAAAGAATTGCTTAAGGAAAGAGATGACAAGAATGTAAAAATACCCCAGGCCAAACTACATGAACACTCCACAGGTATGCTATAGTATCTGAGGCTTCTATTCTACTACTATAATGGGGAAGTTCATCCAAGGCACAGTTCCAATAAGCTAAAAAAATATCAATTAACTATATGTTGTAGAACTCAGCAAACAAAGAACTCAAATGTTCTAGGAATTGACCTTCCATGCTTTTATGAGTTTGAGGCACCTTGCAGAATACTGACCGAGAGCTCAGGCTCCACTATTTCTTTGGTCTCCAATCCTTTCCTATTCTTGGTTCCAGTGCTCCCTGCACCTCCTGGTGCAGCTGGTTTCCCCTTCTTAGGTGGCCCACCAGCCTAAAAGCAATTAAAACAAACAAACAAACTAAACCACTTAGAATTTACAAAACAGTGGTTTTTCAACTTTTTTGGGCCAGAGACTCCCTGAAAATTTGATTAAAAATGAGAGACCACACAACCAACCAAATACAGGGTATTTTTGGTACCCACAGAACTTAGCACTTTCAAGGGCAGACAGACCTCCTGAAGACCATTCATGGGGAAATTTGCAGACCCCATTATTAAGAACCTTTAATTCAGAATGAGCTAAAGAGATAAATGAAATGAAAATGGACTGTAATTATATTACATTTACAGATTAATTTGAGAATTAACATTTGATGCCTTTAAATACCTCTAAATCCTTCCTACACTAGTTAGGGACAATTTCTAACTTCTAGCAGCTACCCAATACTTCACTACAAGACACCCCAATAATAAGAAAATATATTATTAATTCAATGTAGAACCACTTAATTTTGAAGGAATAGAGCGGTTGTTATGGCAATGGCAGCAAGTAGTCTAGCTATGTTGAAGATGGCCGCAGAAAAGAATCTTTTTATTGTTGTAAAAGTCCTTTAGCTGGCCTACTCTTATTTTCCAAGTATATCACCATATGATCTACAAAAGTGGTACCTCTGCCTTATCCTTCCTCGTATTAACACAGGTTTTACTTTATTCTTTTTTCTAATTGTAGAACGTTATTAAACGATAATGGTACTGGCAGGCATTTTTTGTTTTACTCCTCACTTTAATAGGAGTCCTCCTAGTATTTCATCACTATGAAGCATGATGCTGACTTGTGGTTTGCCAGGTCTACTGCTATCTATAAATCTATCTCTATATATTTAGTCATGTCAAAGTATCCATCCATTTCTATGTGGTTAAGAATTTTTATCATGAAGGTATGCTGAAATCTATTATATTCCCTTTCAGTGTCTGAAATTAGATTTCTTTTCATCTCTAAATTTAGTTAAGTTTTCAAATATTAATATTGAACCATCCTTGCAATCCTGGAATAAACTTTAGTTGGTCATACTTTTTATTATACCCACTGGCTTCTATCTGCTAAGACTCTATTTAAATATCTTGATTTAAATGTATTTCACTCCAGTTTTGAAAGGTCACAAGAAAATCAGTTTATCCCAAGGCACACAGCCAATGGCAGTAACGTTAATGCGGTAACACACATCACCGTTCACATCATTCCTCCTATCTGTTTTGGAAATTTGTTAAACTATGCCCCAAACCTAAAAAGAAAAGATATAATGACAGCGGGCCAAATTACTCTTCATCATCCAGACCTCCTCGGAAACCAATGTTATCGTGAACATAATCTAAGCATTTAAGGTGTAGTTAGCCAAAACGAAAATGCTGGTGTTTTAATCAAATGAAAACCTCCAATACTTGCCAGTTCATATCAGCAGTATGATTTTGGTGGTTTGTAATAACAACCTGATAGAGATTTCACTGTTTTCTGGCCCTAAAAATAGAAGATTCTATACTCTTTGATTAACCAGAACACCTCTTCTGGATCCTTTCCTATAATAAATAGCACTCTCTGTATAGAGAGGTACTTCAATTAACAAATCTCCTACTTTTCTTTTTTTTTTTTTTTAACAGACATGTATGTTTATTGGCTTAATAGGGCATATTGGTAGTAAGTCTTTTCAAAAGAAGAATGAAGCAGGTTGCTCCCCCACTTTTTTTTTTTTTTTAAGGATTCTTTCTAAGAGGGGCACCTGGGTGGCTCAGTCGTTAAGCGTCTGCCTTCGGCTCAGGTCATGATCCCAGGGTCCTGGGATCGAGCCCCGCATCGGGCTCCCTGCTCAGCGGGAAGCCTGCTTCTCCCTCTCCCACTCCCCCTGCTTGTGTTCTCTCTCTCGCTGTGTCTCTGTCAAACAAATAAATAAAATCTTTAAAAAAAAAAAAGGATTCTTTTTAAGAGAGAGCTGTCTAGCATGGCAGGGTTCAGCAAGATAAGAAAAGGCCTTAAGGTACTGTGCCCAGGTCACTGTCCAGACAGGCAACAGCTGGTGAGACAGAAGGGAACGGCTGCCAACCCCGCGTGAGAATGCTGAAGAAATGGCATAATATGAATATGAAAGTACACAGACTATAGTTCGAGACACCTGGGTCCAAATGCCAGTTCTGCAAAGCTAGCCATTCGCCAAATGTGTGCCCAGTTCCTGCTGTCTGCCAGAATCTTGTCTGTGCATACAGGACTGAGCAGTGACAAGATCTTTATCCTTTAAAGTTTACGATATGGTGTGTGGTGACAGAGTAAACAAACAAGTGAACAATAAAAATACCAGAGTGAGTTGTAAGAGCAAGTGCAGAATATTTAACCTTGCTGAGCCTCACTTTCCCTTTCTGGAAAAATGGGAATCACAAAACACTTATTTCAAGAGTTGTTTGATGATTAAATGAAATTATGTAGGTAAAACACTTCCCAAAGTGATGCTTTATTAAATACCAGTTCTCTCCCCTAACTTCATACTGGGGCTCAGGATGGGGAAAGGAATAAACTTTCTGCATCTACAGTAGATAACTTCATGCTTCAGAGAGTCCACAGGATAAGTGTTCTCTAAAAGAATGCCATATTCACCTTTAGGCATTTCCCTCTTCTACGCTTGTACAAAGGTACAAGACCTTGCCTGGTAAGTAGACTTGGTGACGTGATTTAGCAGCATTATCAGCAAAATGACCAAGGTGGTATTATTGTTAAGTGCCCTGCCACATTTTTTACTTAATGATACTTTAAGATCCCTCAAAATGTCCTCCTGTACATTCATTACCATTTTTAGCTCTATTAAAGTTTACTTAACCAAATGTATTATTGGAATACTCTCTGTTGATGGATGTTCTGCTATATTTTCAATGTGGTAATGAGTTCATTTCTCAAATGAAATCATATTGGAAGGACAACCACGAACCTGAGATTCAGATCCTGCCTTACTAAATTCTAACTTTTAAACCATATTTTCCAACTCATCTATTAACCTTAGTAGCCGGTGCTTTTTTTAAGGGTCCTGGTTTGGGTGCTGAAATGTCCTTTGTGTCCTTATCTCCTGCAGCCCCTGAAGTGGCAGTCCTTCCGGGAACAGGCTTGGATTCCTTCTTATCAGCGGCTAGTCCAGCTTTCTTACCATGTACCAGCTCTACTTTTTCTGAACATTCTTTGATCTAGAGAATGAAATTGAGATGAACATCAATTAAGCCCAGCTCTGAAATACAATCACTACATTAGTACTTAATAAGTCACCTAAACCACAAATATACGAGAATTCAGAGAGTTTCCTTTTCAGCGAAAATAAATTATCCACTTTCTTATATTTTATTTCTACACAAATTAAAATTATAATAAACATACAACCACATTTTTGATAGAAAACATTCATATTTAGAAAGGTAATTTTCCAGATATTAGAAACAAATTTATCTTAAAACCTTCTTGGGCGCCTGGGTGGCTCAGTCGGTTAAGCGACTGCCTTCGGCTCAGGTCATGATCCTGGAGTGCCAGGATCGAGTCCCGCATCGGGCTCCCTGCTCGGCAGGGAGTCTGCTTCTCC